ATATTCGAAGCAATCGAGCTAAAATCGCGAAAGAAAGGTAAGCTCCAAATGTTTTTATTTGTCGTTTTTTTTTTTAATCAAAATTTCATAATTTTTCTACAAAGAAATTGCTTCTTCATATTCATCAACTGTAAATGGTACCGCAAAAAATTTACACGGCAAACAAACACACCAAAAAAATACCTCAAAGTGGGCCACCCATTCTCGAGTTATGCGCCGTGTGACGTACGCAATACAATTTTATTTTTAATAACAATCTGGAGTTATATTCGATGTAAATAAGCTTGTTTTAATAAAATAATTAAACCACTATTATTCCATGTGCTACAAAATTGCTTGCATTTTTTTCTTTATGCTTCGTCATGGCACCGAAATTACAAACGTCAGCCAGAAAATTTGATTTTGACTTGAGATCTCGGATTTTTTTTACTAGTAAAGAAAAGCAAATATAATAATACATATATTCCAACGAATTGATAACCTGACTGAAATAATATGGGGACCCTTTTTTCGTCAATTACACCTTTTTGTTCCTCTCTGGAAATTCTCAACGGCAATACTGTAGATGGGCCTGTACCAATTTTCCGCTTTACGCGAGTTATTAAAATTATTCCACACGCTTTCCGGGCTGCTTCGGTAATTAGAGCGTAAAAATAAGTTACTCTCTCACAAGTGTCAAAAATGTGTCAACCCGTGCTAAAGTGCTCAGAGCGTGAGGAACGCAAAAATCACTTTTCGTGCCTGGAATCAACAAATCAGTGTATTATCAACAATTACTATCTTATATAGCTAATAAAATTAGCAAATACCCATGATGCAATAATACAAGGTGGTATCACTTGTGACAGCGCGATTTGATACTGCCTTAGCTGAGTAGAATGAGAAGAAAAACCGGAAGAAATTAATCCCCATTTGGGTGGAAAATATAAAATTTCCCATTTTATTCTAAACTAAATTTGCTTCTTTATAGTATGTTTACGCCTTCAGCCTAAATGTTACTTTTTTTCGAACCGCCCTAATTCCAGCATATGTACGTGCTTACGTCGCCCTGTAGAAAATCTAACTAGGCTAGAACTAGCGTAGAACTAGACCTTTTGGCCGACATTATCAGTTCTAGCTCAATAAGCAATGCTTTCAACTGTCCAGCTGGCGATGTCATTGGCATTTTGGACAGTTTTTTTATAAGAAAACGTTTTTGCGATTCGATTTTTGGAAATTTTTTTCGTTTTTTCTTTTCTTTTACCGATTACGTTTTTGTTACTTATTTTATTAAAAAAAAATATATATTGTAAGCTGCACGCAACAAAAATTCATTAAATCTTAAAACTCACAACTGCCTCCACCGCGATTTGAACGCCCCTGCAGGGAAAATTTCTAGTTCCGTACAAGATCTTTATCGCCAAAAACGAACCAGTCCGATAGTAAGTAGATCCCCATCAGCTCAAAATCAGCAGAAATCTATATCTAAAGTGACGAATTTAGAACTGGTTCGGAATTATAGAAAAAGGACGCAGAACGAACTAGATCATATCTGTCGAATTTAGAACTAGTTCGAAACTATCGAAAAAGGGATGTAGCGGGGGGCTTTTTTACTTTACATAGATATGTGTTTGGCGGCTTTTTCGTTCAAATGCACTTTCATTCTGCACTTCGCAGATGCTATTTCATAGTTTGGTAATACAAAACAAAACTTTGTGTTAACATATTAACATCGTGGGGCCGTCTGGAATCTAACCAATAACAGCGGGCACCTCTGCAAAGTCAGCTACAGCCAAAGGTATGTAAACGTACATTTCTTACAATCATTCAAACAAATTTAGTAGTGAGCATTTGCACATATACAACGCAATTTTCAACTGTCCCGCTCTGCATTCCTTTTGCACTAGTTCAGAGATAGTTCTGAGATATATAGTTCGGAACTAGCGCTTTGTCAGACTGTCTCTAAATTTTACTGCAGGGTGTGTATAAGCATATGGCTATGTGATTAACTCAGTGAGAGGGGAGACCAGTATGTTTGCATGTATGTATGTAT